ATGGGCTATCATTCGTCTTATAAAGGTTTCCGTTGCCTCGACCCCACCACCTCAAGACTATATATCACCCGGCATGCTCAATTTGACGAACTTTATTTTCCCTTTAAACAAGCTTCCCAGGCCCAGCCCATATCAGCTCTCCAAATCTCCAATTTTTTTGAACCAAGCCTGTCTCCTACTAATACACCCACGTCCATCCCTGCGCCTCAATCCCGACATATTCATCAATCCAAACCATGTATTATTTGTGTTGATCAAGTTGATGAGTCTATGCAGGCAATAAATTCTAATACAGGTCTAATGTTGTCCGGCTCTACTACTCCGGAGATTATTACCGACGCATCTACGGTCGTTTCCACTCCTGTTGGTGCTCCAGTATCTTCTCATCCTATGCTCACTCGAGCTAAAGCTGGAATCTATAAACCACGTCACTCTGCATATCTCGGCCTTGTGAATTCTTCTGGGCTTCTTTATGCTCTTCTAGCATCTATCGATCCCAAAGGTTATAAATCGGCCGCGAAGAATCCTGGTTGGCTTGCTGCCATGGATGAAGAAATCCAAGCTTTAAAAAATAATCACACGTGGATTTTGGTTCCTCGACCTACCAACACGAATATTGTGGGATCAAAGTGGGTGTTCCGAACGAAATTTTTGTCAGACGGATCTATCGAACGTCTGAAAGCCCGTCTTGTGGCCAAGGGATATACCCAGGTACCCGGTCTTGACTATACAGACACCTTTAGCCCGGTGATAAAAGCAACCACAGTGCGTGTTGTACTCTCACTTGCTGTATCCAACAAATGGCAAATTCGTCAACTTGACGTGAAAAATGCATTTTTGAATGGCCATCTCAGTGAGCATGTTTTTATGGAGCAACCCCCTGGCTACATAGACCCATGTTTTCCCAACCATGTTTGTAAGTTACAAAAAGCTCTTTACGGTCTAAAGCAAGCACCTCGTGCATGGTTTCAGCGACTGAGCTCTTTTCTCATTAAATTGGGTTTTTATTGCAGCCGTGCAGACACATCCCTATTTATTTTTTATAAAAGCTCTAACATAATATATCTTCTTCTCTATGTTGATGATATAATTGTTACAGGAAACAACTCATCTCTTCTTCAAAGATTCACTTCCAAACTTAATACAGAGTTTGCCACTAAGGATTTGGGTTCTTTAAGTTATTTCCTTGGTCTTGAAGCCACATATACCTCAAATGGCCTCTTTATCAGTCAGCTAAAGTATGCACGTGATATTCTCACTCGAGCTCAGCTACTTGACAGCAAACCAGTTCACACCCCAATGGTTGTCTCACAGCAATTGTCTACCGAAGGTTCTTTATTTTCTGATCCGACACTTTATAGATCTCTTGTTGGCGCCCTCCAATATTTGACTATCACACGTCCGGATATTGCTCATGCTGTCAACTCTGTCAGCCAATTTCTTCACTCTCCAACCGAGGATCACTTCCTTGCCGTCAAACGAATTCTTCGTTATGTTAAAGGCACGCTACATTATGGCCTCGCCTTTTCTCCATCTACTGCCCCGTCAACTTTGATTGCTTATTCCGATGCGGATTGGGCAGGGTGCCCCGATACTCGTCGATCTACCTCAGGTTACTCTATTTATCTTGGTGGCAACTTAGTTTCGTGGAGTGCCAAAAAGCAGCCCACGGTTTCTCGGTCAAGTTGCGAATCGGAGTATCGGGCTTTAGCGCACACTGCCACTGAACTTCTTTGGCTAACTCATGTTCTAAGTGATCTCAAAGTTTCTATACCAGATCAACCTCTCCTTCTATGTGACAATAAGAGTGCTATCTTTCTTAGCTCAAATCCGATTTCTCACAGGCGGGCAAAACATATTGAACTCGACTATCATTTTCTACGTGAACTTGTTCTCGCTGGCAAGCTTCGTACTCAGTATGTGCCCTCTCATTTGCAAGTCGCCGACATCTTTACAAAAAGTGTGTCGAGATCTCTATTTGAACTCTTTCGATCCAAGCTTCACGTATGCTTAAATCCGACGCTCAGCTTGCGGGGGTGTGTGTGAAGGATCAACCTCCTGATTCTCAGCCTACCAAGAATCATGCTCCAAGTCATCTGCCTTAGTTTAAGGTTTTTTATTTATATCATATTTGACCCTCAATTGTAGCTATATATTTAATTTAATTGATTCTCTCATAATTGTAATTACCATACTTGTATGTAATTATGAATATATATATACGGATTATATTCACCACAAAAGGTGTGGTGGTTTTCTCAAACTCTCTCAGTTTTAAACCGTACAAAGATCGTTATAACTTAATTGAGTATAATTCACAAGACTTGTTGTTATATATCTCGGGCATTTTAAATCCTTCTGGGATTTTCATATAGATGTCATTGTCTAATGACCCATATAAATATGCAGTGACAACATCCATAAGGCGCATATCAAGCCTATATGTGACTGCAAAACTTATTAAATACCGTAACGTGATTGCGTCAATCACCGGGAGAATATGTTTCATCATAATCAATCCCTGGTCTCTGCGAAAAACCTTGTGCTACAATTCTTGCCTTGTATCTCACAATTTCATTTTTTTCATTGCGTTTTCGCACAAACACGTATTTGTACCAAACGGGTTTAACATCTTTAGGAGTTTGTACTATTGGTCCAAATACTTTACGATTTTCTAAAGAGCAATTCAGCTTGCATATCATCTTTCCATTTTGGCCAACCATTTCTATATCGATATTGTTCAACCAATTTCCGTTCAGGATCCTCATTCACAATATCTAATGCGACCCCGTAAGCAAAAATATTATCAATAATGACTTTATTTCTATCCTAGCTTTCTCTTGTATTCAATAATGACTTTATTTCTATCCTAGCTTTCTCTTGTATTCAATAGCCTCTTGAATGATGATTTCTTTAGACTGATCAGTCACTTTTCTCATAGTGCTTTCCTTTTCAGTTGTCAGTCACTTTTCTCATAGTGCTTTCCTTTTCAGTTGTATTCTCTTTAGAAGAATTTATTTCATGTACCCTTTTTCTTCGAGGGTTTTTATCTTTAGCGCCAATAGGACGTCCATGTTTCATGCACGATTTTATTTTATCAATATTTTGTCATGTGTGGACATCAATTCGCGCAGGTGTGTTTACCGCCGGTATATGAGATTTTGTTACTTTCCTTATATCAGTGAAAGCATCCGGCAATTGATTTGCAATATTTTGCAAATGTATTATCTTTTTCACTTCTTGCTCACATTGATTTGTGCGTGGGCCAAAATTAGATAAAGATGATACATCTCATGAAATTTCACGCCATTCAATATGAATCGATGATTTATCTCCTCATAACGGCGGGAAAATTGGGCTCAATATATCGAATTATAGCAAATCGTCCGTCATGGGCTCAATATATCGAATTATAGATAGGTAATCAAGACCAAAATAAATTCCCAAACGTCTTTGTGGACCCATTTTTGTTCTTTGAGGTGGAGAAATAGGAATATAAACCGCATTACCAAATATTTTTAAATGAGAGATGTCTGGTTGTTGTCCATAAACAAGTTGCAACGGTGAATATTGTTCAAATGAACTTGGTCGAATTCGGACCAATGAAGCTGCATGTAATATTGCATGTCCCAAATTTGAAGTTGGTATATTAGACCTTAGAAGTAATAGTCTAACGATTAGTTGCAACCTTTTAATAAAGGACTCAACAAGGTGCAACTGAATGTTCAACATCTATACCAATTGACATGCAGTAATTATTAAATGCTTGTGATGTAAATTCACCGGCATTATCAAGACGAATAGTCTTAATATGATAATCGTGAAATTGAGCTCTCAATCTTATAATTTGAGCAAGAAGTTTAGCAAAAGTAATAGTACGTGTTGACAGTAGACCTACATGTGACCATCTAGATAATGCATCTAGGACCATGAAATAACGAAACGGTTCACATGGTGGATCAATAGGTCCACAAATATCTCCTTGAATTCTTTCTAAGAATGATGGGGATTCTTTACCAATTTTCGTTGGAGATGGTCTTATTATAAATTTTCCTTGTGAGCAAGCATTACACACACATTTTTGAGGTAAAAGAATCTTCGGATTCTTTAGAGGATGCCCATATGATTTTTTTATTATTCGACGCATTATAATTGACCCTGGGTGGCCTAGTCGATCATGCCAAAGCATAAAAAGCTTGGGATCATTGAACTTTTTGTTCATCACAAGGTTTGATTCTATTGCACTAACGGTCGCATAATATAATCCCGATGACAAAACTGAGAGTTTTTCTTTCACATGCTTTTCGCATGAAACCTTGGATGTAATACAAAGATATTCCATATTCCCCTCATTCATAGTCTCGATATGAAATCCATTGAGACGTATATCTTTGAAACTCAATAAGTTTATGTTTGATTGGTAAGAGTACAAAGCCTCTTTTATAAAAATATTTGTGCCACCAGGCAATATTATATTGGCTCTTCCAAACCATCAACTATTTTTGTAGTACCGGGAATTGTAATAACATTTGCTTTTGCCAATTTCAAAGTCGAGAAATATTATTGATCTCGAAGAATAGGGTGTGTTGTTCCACTGTCTCCAGCATCCAAGTTGCTCACATGAGTCTAATCATCATCCATGGTTCTTTGTCAAACGATTAGAGCCTTCGTGTTTGTGCTGATATCGTATTATAAAACAAAGGAAAGAAGAGAGTAAGTGTGTGTATGTATTGTATTCTTATAGACATCCACCATTATGTTTTCTTTTAGCAGATATATGGACATTAGTTTTCAAAAGAATACAGGTAAACCTCTATAAATTAATACAGTTAGAATTACCAAAATTCTATTAAAGTTAAATTATCGAGCTAATAATTTAATACGTTTTCACCAAGTCGTAATTGGAAAAAAATATTATTTAAACGAGATATTAATTTATCGAATTAACATATTGAGGTTCTAGTGTATATGTTATTCACTTAAAATTTGTAATTTATCCAAATTTTCGTAGGATTTAGAAAAATAATGATAATTTGTAATTGAAAAAATAGACGGCGTGCGGTCATCTCCAAAAACCCAAGTACTGAACCCTAAACCATTTCCATTTCCATTTCCATGGAGCTCTAAATAACACATAATAGATACATATACATACATACATACAGAGAGAGAGAAAAAAAATGTTGAGGAGAAGATTAGTTTCACTTATACCCACCTCCATCCGCGCTGCTCAAAATCAGTTCCAGAAACCATCGTCGATAATTCCCCTGCAGTGCGGTTCGCTGCAATTCTCACAATGCCGGGGTGAAATCTGGAAGCCCGACTACTTTGATATGGGAAGTGCGAGGAGGGCTTACAGCAGCAGCAGCCTATTGGCGTTGAACGATCTGAGAGACAATCCAGGGGCCCGTCAGCAGAAGACCCGTAAGGGTCGTGGTATCGGGTCGGGTAAGGGTAAGACTGCGGGCCGTGGGCATAAGGGTCAAAAAGCCCGTGGTACTATGAAATTCGGGTTTGAAGGTGGTCAGACCCCTCTCCGCCGCCGCCTTCCCAAACGGGGTTTCAATAATCCATTCAGTCTCACATTTCAGGTACCTTTTTTTTTTTTTTTTTTTTTTTGGGATTTTAATTATTTTGTTCATTCAGAAGTGATTGAAATTTTGGAATAAACAATCAAAGAATTGTGTATATATTTAGTCTGAAGTATGTATATATTTAGTCTGAAGTGATCTGAATCTGATGAATTGTGATTGTGTATCTTTACAAATGTTGTTTGAAGTAATATTATCAGCATTTTATTCAGCAAAATAACGGTGGAAATTGGGTCCTCCGTCTTGATGTTTGCGTCTCCTCTGCCCTAATGTTTTCAAAAAAATGACCTTGGCTATAAATTGAAGTGCTGCACCTACATATCACTGCACTTCATTAATCAAGAATCAAACTAGTGTCGTTGTGGAGTTGGATCCTTCTACGTAATAAATAGGCAGTCACGGAATAAATTGACAAGCATACAATTTTGTTTATGATCTTTACTCTGTGACGATTAATCTGTAAAAACATCTATAAAGTTTGTTATTGGTGTGACATTTCCTGTTATTCAACTTTGTAATAATTCTCGCACTCATAAACTACTTTCTGTAGCAAATGTCTGTCCATTCACACATGTATGTGTTTATGCTTCTTTGTTTTTGTATTTAACATTTGCAACGTTGACGCATATTCCCATGTTTTATCTAGTGTTTTATCCAATGTTTGATGAAACGGTGATACCTAGAATTTATATTGAATATACATATCTGTGAATGTTAACTAATATTATTCTTTATGATGTCGTTCTTCCCTTTCTCTAAACTCTTTTTGTGTATTTGTGTGTACATCTGATGTTACATGAGTTCCTCTTAACCCTTGGCTATGATAATTTCAGTAAATGAATGACGAGTGTAAAGTTTGTGCGCTTTCTCTATATGAATTGTATATATGGATTGTCCAGTCTTATAATAAAAAGAAACCTCGTAACATGTTTTGCCAAAAAGATCAATTTCTACTTCTTAATGCGTGGTGAAAATGAGAAGGATTCATGAAGAATATGACAGTTACGTTGAGAGGATCAAAGGAGATATCAAACATATCGAGACACTCGTATGTTTGTGTGACTGCATTGTAAATTGAAACATTCATATTTTCTATTCTTTTATTTTTGATGGTTTTAGTTTGTTAAATGTGTGGTCACTGAGGTCAGGCAGAGAACAGTATTCGATCTCTCATTTGGCATAATGAATCGATTTTTAGGAAGTTTGTGACTGTAGCGTTTTATTGATTGTCCCAAGTGTCTCATTTGCAGCCAGTTGGCTTGGGAAAAATTGCAAAGCTGATAAATGCTGGGAAGATAGATTCTTCAGAATTGATCACAATGAAAACTCTCAAGGTATGTATATATGTATTTATACATATTAGTGTCTTATTCATCTTCTCGCCGACATTGTTCGCTACCAGCTTTGTCTGATATCGCGCACTCTGTTTTCTTGGCAAAAAGGAATCAGGGGCCATAGGGAAGCAAATCGAAGATGGAGTTAGATTGATGGGGCGCGGGTCCGAACACATTAAATGGCCCATCCATCTCGAGGTACTCATAATTGCTATACACTCGTATCTTAATTTCAATAAAAATTGCAAGGACTTTGAGCTTTTGTTGTATATTGTTTGCACAGGTTTCGAGGGTTACTGTAAGGGCAAAAGCAGCAGTTGAAGCTGCTGGTGGAAGTGTGAGGAGAGTTTATTACAACAAATTAGGGTTCCGTGCACTTTTAAAACCGGAGTGGTTTGAGAAGAAGGGAAGATTAATTCCAAAAGCAGCAAGGCCTCCGCCAAAGCAGAAGGATAAAGTCGATAGTATTGGCCGTTTGCCTGCTCCTACTAAGCCTATACCTTTTACTACTGAAGATGAAAACGACGACGAGCCTACGTCTGATGCTGCTGCTGCTGCTGCTTCAACTGCATGAGAATTGCTTTTCTGTATTGATCGGTTTTTAGCTGCCGTGTATTCGACGAGTAAGAATAATATAACAAGTTTCTTTTGAACTGTTCAAATTTGTGCAAGACTCTCTTTGGATATCAAAGAATAACAAGAATTGTGGGTGGAGGAGTGATCTTGAAAAGTAGCGTTCATGTATTTCTTATGATCTATACCTGTATCTGAGTGTTAGATTTGCTGCAAAAATCTAGATTCGTAGTTTTAACAGCAGAACATTATTGATTAAAAATAAATACTAAAGGCTCTTCATTTGTGGTGTTTGCAAAAGCTTTTAGAAAAGCAGAAGTTGGTGATTATGAAATAAGTTAATGGCAAGTGTTTATTTCTAGAAGCACGAAAATTTGTTTTCCAGTAATTTATCTTAAGAGAACTTATTTAATGAGAGGTAGAAATAAAAGTTGATAATGCCAAACACTTGAAAATTTATTAGGATCTTTTTAGCATCCCACACCTCAAAAACCGGCTGAGGGTTAGATACCCCTTAAATTACCATTCATTTTATATAGATTAGATCTGAATCGTTCAATCAAAAAGTGAATTTGGGTTTTTTGGAAAAAATAAATAAAAATAATAATTTGAGCAATTATTTATCTATCCTTTTCACCTAAGATTATTTATCACATTAAAATAGAATATGCTAATATGGAATAGTCTGATTTACCCCCAATCAAGAAATATTTAATAAAATCAAATGTACCAATTATTAAATAATTTTAATTAAGAAAGAAAATCCTTATTAAAATATAGGGGTTATTACTTATTAGGGAAAACCCCCTCATATGCATTGTATCATTACACTAGATGCTTTTTTTTCACCTATTTTTAAGATAAATTTAATTGTATTTTATTAAGTAAATTATATTATTAGTAACCTATTTTACTATTTCTCAATTTCTTTAACCTAGCAACAACTCTCTGTCTCGTAGCCGTCTCATTCATTTATCTTCTCTCTCCCTTCTCTCCATATCTCTACACTCACGCCCACACCCTCGCCGCCCCACCGAACGACCACACCATCTACTCCCTCCTCCTTCTGCTTCTGCTGCTGCCGCGATTCATCACCTCCGAATCAACCTTGCTCATTTCCGGCGAAGGCATCTCGTTCATCTCCGAGAGAGTGGCGGCGAGCTTCCGGGCCGAAACGGGTCGGGTTAATTTCCCACTGTGATGCTCTACTTTTCGAATTTCACGTCGATCCGACCCAACGGTCCGAGTCAGACCCGGATTACCGTGCTCGTTGAATTGCTGCAAACGAAATCCTTGGCCAATTGCGTGCTCGTTGATTTGTGTAATCATCCATCAAGTGAGTTTCGAATCGTTTGGTTAGTGAAGATTTTGGGAAACTAGACAATATTTAATTAATTTTTAATTTGAGTGATAAATGTTAAAGATAGAAGATTATTTATTGAGTTTTCATAATGTTTTAACTGTTTTCCTCCCTCTTTTCTCTCATTTCTCACCCAAAATATTATATCCATCACGAGTTCTCAGGGAATTTTCATAGAAAATTGTTTTGGTTTGAGAAGATTTTCGAGAGGGAAGAGGCATATGAACACAAGAGATTTTTCTACAAGGGCAGTTACTATAATTTGTTCGTACTGTTCGTAATTTCATATTGTAATGGATTTCAATTCTATTCATATCCTTGCTAGAAATTCTTTGAAATTTTTATGTATTCCATTGTTATTTGAATGTTTATTCTTTTTATTTTTCGATTAATTATTTTCTTAGATTAAAAGTTATGATGTTGTGTCTTGATTGAATCATTAAGTAGCATTTGATCTCAAAGAATTGTGCCATGTTGAATGTTGAAGAGTCGAGGAAGAAGGTGAATTGGATCTGAGAAGATGGTGTTTTGTAGTTGTATTCGCTCGAAGTAATAGTAGTTTTGCTGAAATTTGGGGATATATTTTTATAGTTGATTTCAATACCGTTATAGTTGTTTTTGTTAATGTTAAAGTTATTTTTGATTTTTTGTAGTTATTTTCATTTTTTTTAGTTGATTTTTATAATGAGGTAGTTGATCTTTATAATGTTGTTTACAGTTCTTTGTAGTTGATTTTTACAATGTTTAGTTGAAGAAATCAGGCGTTGCGTCAGCCGAGCAACGAAACCAACTTCCCCATCGAAGAAATCTCCACTTCTCACTTCCAGTGCCATTGGGGGTTTTTAAATTTCATAGCCAATTTCGATAATTTGAAGTTGTTCTTTGATTTTTTTAGTTGATTTCAATAATTTTATAGTTGATTTCGACAATTTTTAGGTGATTTCGATTTTTTTATAGTTGATGTACGTTAATTTATAGTTGATTTTATTATTGAAAACTTACTATTTCCTTAGTTCTTTTACGATTTTCGTATAACTGATTCAGGGAAAAATAAACATAAACATATAGTTGTTTTACAGTTTTCTTATAGTTGATTCGGTAAAAATCGAACAAAAAAAAATAGTTGTTTTAGTAATGTTGTAGTTGAATCTCGAAAAAATAAGCAAAACAAAAACAGAAATTGTAGTTGATTTCGAAAAGTTTATAGTTGTTTTCAGAATTATTGTAGTTGATTTTGAAAACCAGAAACTGAAGAGAAAAAAAAAACTGAAAAAAAAATATTTAATTAAAAAAATTAATAATTTTTTTTAAATAAATAAGTCAATATTATAATTAAAAGAAAAAAAAGGAAATGAAATGAACATTAAAGTAGTGGAGCGTGAATAGAACGAAGGGTAAATTTGGAATAACAAAAAATATGGATCTATCACTAATAATAGAAAAGGGGTTGGACCCAACCTTATTTAAAAAATTATATCCCCTAGTTTAATACTCCCTTCTTCCTCTTCAAAATTTTAATAACAAGTAACTACAACTAATATTTTTTTACCAGAACAATCTAATAAGCATAGAGGGAAAACCTAATTCTTCTTTCTATTTGTGAGCATCAAACTTGTTTTCTTCGTTTTTTGTGGAATTGAACCGTTGGATGTGACCGAAATTTGGACAAATATTCGGAGCTCATACTTCTATATTATGTACGGACGAGATTGAATTTGCTCTCCTAAAATTTGGTGTCTCCTAACTTTGGATATCAATTGTGGAAGTAGCCACAATTTGTTGAGATTTTTTTTTTCATTTTTTACACTTCATTTTGAGAGATTTTCCACGTAAAATTTGCTCGAGTAGTTTGTGTTTGAATTTGATTTTCCAATTATTATTACCTTTTTTTTTTTTTTGTTGAGAAGATGCAGTTTGAGCATTATTGCATATTCGATGAGGAAACTTCGGAATGAATGGTGGCGGCGACTATGAAATGCACTAGTGAAAATGGAGCAGCTTGCAGGCCGAATGGTTAGAATAAGTTTTGTAGTCATAGACATAGATAGTCATATGTCGCATATAGTCATATATATGTTTTGTAATTTTCCCTATAAGGTATAGCAAGATAAATTTTATTGAGTTTTTTGTGTGGATGTTGATTGTATTTCTTTCGTAAATATGGTTGTACTACACTATATAATAGGGATTTTTTAGTTGAAAATGTAAAAAACGGCAATATAAAGAAAGAATGTGACTATAATTGATATAGTCATATTCAACGGTAGTCATATTCGACGTAGTAAACTTATAAAAAAATCAGAAAAAATATTTTTATAAAAAGAATTTAAAAAAAAATGAAAAATAAAAAAATCGACAAAAATAAATGTAGGTCAACTAATGTTAAGGTTGATTTATGTATGTGAAGGGTATTTTTGGAATAAAGAGAGCTATGGGGTATTGCAAAGGACGATTTTATGGTTGAGTTTAGTTCTACGTCTTAGCGGGGTGAGGGGTTTATTGCTAAAAACCTCCAACAAAAAATGTAATTAATGATTCATTGAAATTAAAGTAACAAACAATTGGGAAAAGAAACTCTCCAAATAGACAAATATTGTGAGGGGTGGAGTAAGGATGGCAAAAAAAACTAACATGCTAGCTACCCATGGGTATCCACCCAACTTATAACCCGTTACCGAAACCATTGCGTAGAAAACAACAGCGGTCTGCTCAGGTTCAGCAAGTCTATTTTCTTCCATCTGGAGAAGCGATCGAATCTGTAGAAAAGTGGGAAGGAGATTCTGAAAGGAGATGAGGTTGGCGACGATCCCATAATTTTTCAGAAGGCCATGTAAGGTTTGTAAAACGAGTTGTTTGTCGGAAATTGGATTTCCAACATCGACCAAGCTGTCCGCCGTGATTTTGATTGTTTGGCAATAATCGTGAATAGAGGGAGAGCCTTTCTTGAGGGACTTGAATTTCTCTTCAAGTTGAATGGCCCGATAGTCTTTATTGTCGATGAAGAGAGAGGAGATGGTCGTCCAGAGATGGCAGTGGATGTTTTGGAGAATATCATGCTGAACAGATCATCAGAGATAGTGTCGTAGATCCAAGTTTGAAGGAGATAGTTGGCGCGTTGTCATTTATCGGCGGAAATTGAGTCGGGTCGGGGTTTTCCATGGAGAATATTAGAAAGACAGAAGCATTGGTGGTGATTTTGAAATAGTGGCTCCACTTTTGATAGTTGGGAGTTTTGAGATTTATGATGACGGGATGAGAGATTTGATATTGGAGATGGCATGAGTAAGGTGGAAGGGATTGAGAGGGGCGGCGGGGGGAGTAGCTTCATCACCGGCCATGGTAAAGAAGAGAGGCGGTGGCGGCTGAGGGGATGGTGGTGGTGACGGCTAGGTTGACCTAGTGTCTGATACCATATAGGAAGAATACAATTGGAGAAAGAGAGAATTGTGTCTCTGACGTATATTACTCATATATATAGTTACATGTAAGAAATCCTAACCTATTACAAGATATATCTATAATAAATAATAATAATAATTGTCAACAATATATACGCTAATACTATTCATTCTTACACTTTCTTTTTAATATTTAAAATGTAGATAAATCGAACAATCAAAATTAGTTAATTTGAAAATATGTACGAGAAAATAAATTTGTTTGAAGAAGGTAAAATATGATTTTAAAGTTTATGAAGTTGATTTTAAAGATCGTGTGGTAGCAAAATAGCCAGCAGTTTTGCATTTGTAGTTTTGAAAGAAACATTCAATTTGATTGCATTTGTTGTTTTGAAAGAAACATTCAATTTGATTCAGCCTAAAAAATCATGATAGTGATCCCTAATTTTAACCAACTAGTATTCACTCGTGCGATGCACGGGGCACTTTTTTTAAATAAAAATACATATCACTAAAACAAACTTA